GTGAATATTTTTAAATGATCATATAATTAAACCATGAAAATAAAATGTTTAATATATTAACATTTTAATATTAAAATTATAATGTAATATATTAAGAAATGTACGAATAAATGTAAATTATTTAGTGCTGTCAATATTACCGCCTTAACACATGTGATTATTTTTTGCCGTTTAATATTTAATTAAATATTTAACCCAATTTACACAAGGGCGGAGCTAGGGTTGGCCACCCCACTCAAAACTGCTGCTTCTGTCTCTTTTTTCTTGACAAGAATTGCATTTATTTAGACGCAGAACGTTTTTACGAGACTTTTCAGATGCACACTCCAATTTCACCTCGTCGCCAGACGCTAGTCAACTGAGCACAGAAAATGTACAGGTGATGAGGGCGCTTCAGTAGAACAAAAGTAAACTGCAGTCAGATGTAAGATTTCATATTAAAGCGCAAATGAAACTACGAGCATGCAGTATCATAGTTATGTCATCAGTTAAGTTATGAAGTTAGCTAAAAAAAAGGAGATTAAAGCTACCTTAAAGCTGGGCATGGAAGTATTTGTTATATGAATCCCATTTAAGAACATCTCTCTGAAATGCAGTGGTTTTCAGCTTTATCAGCGGCAGCTCTTAATGCAGCCAAAATAACCTAATAACCCAGTTGCTGTGATGTCTCAAAGAACAAAAGAAAATAGAGGAAATCAATAACTTGTGTAGCTTTGAGGATTCATCTATGTTTTATTTAGAATTTAGTGTTTGATAACTTTATTTAATTTCTGTATATTTCCTATTTGCTGAACAGCACAGGTTGCTAAGCATGACATTTATTATAGGGTTTATGTGAAGATTGTTTTAAGTTCACTTAAATTAGAAGTTGTTATTTTTCAAAGTATAATCAAAATTAAAAATGATAGCTCTTAATTATACTGTAATGCTGAATGGCTATAGTTAATGGTTAAATATTAGGAAAAAGAAAACAATTTCATAGAGAAATCAGTAGTATTGGTATAAGTGATACTCGCCTTCTGTCATAAAAAAGATGCCATTAAGCAAATATTAAATATATACTGCCTTTATGTTTTTTCTGCATTCATTTGAAGATTGAATGTGAAATAAAAAAAAACTAATGTAAAAGTACATTTAAAAAATATTTTAAAACTTTAATTTTAGGTGGGATTAATCGCGATTAATCATTAATAATTTCAGAAAAAAATGTTTTTTGTTTTTTTTTAATCGATTGACAGCACTAAAATTATTACATGCCTTATTTTTAAACAGAAAATTTAATTAATATTAAAATAAATTAAATTAAAATTAAATAACTGATTAATTAATATGATTTGAAATGACACCAAGGTGAGTACATGATGTCAGTTTTCAGTTTTTCATGAGCTATTCCTTTAATTGGAATGAAAATGATAGTAAATAAAATATAAATTATTAAAAAATGGTCCTAAAAATATGCTTGTAATTTTTTTTTTTTAAATGTCATGATGATATGTAACCTGGACATGTCTTCATGAGATTCACCCTGAGGCTCATAAAAACCTTAATTGGTTCCAGTCAGTCATGAGTGTACTTCCTATTTAAAAAAAGCCAACAAAATATATTTCTACTCATTACAACCGTCTTGCTGTGGAAGACCTGCGTCGATCCATGAGATGTCAATTATGATCATCTCTTTTTCATAACACACAAAAACCATGAGTCAGGGATTACAAGAAAGGCAAAAAGAGCAAGAGAATGCCGACTATATGGCCTCTAAAGACTGCAGAGGTTTTAGGATGTATTATAAGCCGTGTCCCTCGCCACAGCTTTAATTGGCTCAGTTTCTCTTTTGTGTCAGATATCACAATACCATGAATTAAAGGGTGCTTTATTACCGCCCGCATCTCCGCCACACGAGCTCTCCTTGACTAATTGAAAAGTGGTGGAACAAGGAAAGCAATTTACTCACCTAGAAATTACTTTTCATGATAACAATGCCATTTTTCAAAGCCAGGCGCTCCCATCCACAGTCCCACTTCTTAAGAGGGAACCATTATTTGTGTCAGAGGGAAGAGAAAAACCTATTTGCATTCCATTACAAGTCCAATTGGCACCCAGCGATGAGGAAGAGTATGGCGGGAAGAAAAGGAGAGATACATATTTCACACCATCTTGGGAAAATCTTGCACTTTGTGCTTAAGTTGTGCTGATGCTGTGTTATTGGGAAAAATAATCTTTATAATAAATTTTTTATTTTTTTGCCCAATTTTGTACTTCATGCTACTTGAAGGGGGAAGGCAGGATGTTGCAAACCAGATTCAAAGTGGCATTGCCCGAATGCATACTACAATTAATTTATAAATTTTTCAATAACTGTAAAACAAAGCATAAGAATATGCAAAAGTGATCACCACAGATTGGTGACACAATTGCAGCATAAAACTGCACACATTATATTTAGCAGCAAAATATGCAACAAAAATGTGACCTTCAAAACAGACTGAGAAATATTTATATATGTATTTATAATAACATATTGATGAATGAATCATCATAAAAATGATTACATTACCACAGTTTCTAAAATCTAAACAAACAATAAAATAAGTTCATTTCAATTTATATTTAAAATTTATTTATTTATTTATGTATTCTATGAAAATGATTGACATCAATTTACACAAATTGCGACTGTCGCTAGTTACTAGTTAATGTGAAAAATGTTTGAGTGGAATACAAAAATGTCAGTATTACCACCAAATGCCTTTCTCTTTTTTTCCTTCATTGGATGGAAAACAGCAAGGCCATTGTGTCTAGACATATCATTTCAATGCAACGTATTGTAGTGCATATCTTTTTTCATTACATATCACTTCAAAGCAACTTTACAGTAAATAGTACTTTAATGCCTCCAGTAACCAGGCAAAATGTAACTGTGACACAGTTTTGTTTCCCAGCAGACTAATAAAAACCTGTGCACCTGGACTCCCGGAAGTTGCATAGCAGTCAGGCAATCTGTTTGGAGCTTGTGATTTTTACAAATGTGTTTAAGTTTTGTGTGCAATACACATGAGACTGCAGGCCGTGTATCAGGTTAAGACACAGGATGAAGAACTGTTAAAACCTTCTCATGTGGGTAGCTCTACAAGGAAAAAATATTAATTCAAGGTGTAAAACTGTTACTGTCTTAATCCAAGGTGTTACTGTCTTAATCCAAATCTACAAATGTAGTATTTCAGTCATCACATCCGACTCTTTGTGTCATTAAGATCAGACAGGTCAGGGAGTAAAATAAATTCATTCATGAATATATTAGTCTGTTTGAGCTCATTAGAGTGATGAGATGCTAATTTATGAGGAGTGAAGGTTTATT